CCACTGGCCTCTGAAGCCTAACTTCTCATCTCTCCCCTCCCTGGAACTGGATCTGGGGCCCTGAAGATCCAGGTGGCTCAGGGCTCAGGCAGGGCTGAGTTATCTGTAATTTCAAGCCTCTCTCCACTCACCTGTGCAGAATCTTCTCCGCTTGCTCCAGGGTGATGGAAATACCCAGAGCTCGGAAACTCTGCTGGATCTCAGAGACATCGATGTGACCTAGAAAAGGGGGCCCCCGATGTGGGGGAAGGAATGTTGGGGGGAGGAAGTGGGACCCTGAGGGACCCCAAAACCAAAGATTAGGATAGCTGGAAATGGGGACCTTCTAGCAAGACCAGAGGATCAAGAAACCCAGGGGTGGCTTTCCATCTGGAACTACAGGGAGGTCCTGGACTCGTTGGACTCAGAGAAGTGGCAATGGGCAGCGCTAAGGAGTCCTCTGTTCCCCTGACGGATGGATGGATGGATGGATGGGTGGATGGATGGATGGATGGATGGATGGATGGATGGATGGATGGATGGATGGATGGATGGATGGATGGGTGGATTCAGAGGCTAATACAGGGGTCCCTTTGCCACAGAAAAATAAGAGGCAATGTTTAGAACCCACAAGATGCTTTACCCAGGGAGGGGAGAGGGGACATAAAAGCAACATGTTGGGGGTCAGGGGGGACCCCTGAGAGTATTCCCAGGGGTCTCACTTCAGAAGTGAAGAAGGGGTGGGCCAGGCTGGCTGGGTGTAGAGACACCTAGTTGGGGGTGAGAAGTCTCAAAATAGCCTGTGAGTCATCGGGAAGGAGAAACCCTCCCCACCCCAGCCCTGCTGGTTCCGCCCCTACTAAGCCCCATCCTCTCCCCCCTCCCCCGCCCCAGCCCACAGCCCGGCATTACCATCCTGGTTGCGGTCAAGACTGTGGAACATGAGCAGAAGGCGTTGCTCGCGCTCCTGCAGGTACTGAGTGAACTCCTCCAGATCAAGCCCCACATCTGGGTCAGCGTCGCCCTGGGGCGCGATGCCCTGGTGAGAGGGGAGAGGGACAGATCTGAAGGGGCCCACAGTTCCCCCCCCCCATATGGCTTCAAGGAAGGGGACAGCTCACTTCTCAGCAAGATGCTCAAGGCCATAGAACCAGGTGCATGGCAGGATCGTGGCCCAGTTTTCCTTACAAACTCCCCCCCCCTCCCCGCCCCCTCCCAAGTCAACTAACTGAAGGTCAAGGAGTTGAGAAACCATAACCTCTTTTTGTTAAGATTTCCTTATTTTGGTGCCAATACTGGGGCTTGAACTCAGGGCTGTCCCTTAGCTGTTTCATTCAAGGCTGGCCCTTTAACACTTGAGCCACAGCTCCACTTTCAGCTTTTTGTTTTTGTTTTTTTTTTTTTTTTGGGTCCGGTCGTGGGGCCTGAACTCTGGGCCTGGGTGCTGTCCCTCAGGTCTTCAGCTCAAGGCTAGCACTCTACCACTTGAGCCACAGCGCCACTTCCGGCTTTTTTTCTTATGTGGTGCTGAGGAATCGAACCCAGGGCCTCGAGCATGCAAGGCAAGTGCTCTACCACTGAGCCACCTTCCCAGCCCAACACTTTCAGCTTTTTGATGGTTAATTGGAGATAAGAGTCTTATAGATTTGGCTACCTGGGATAGCCTCAAACCTTGGTCCTCCTATCTCAGCCTCCAGAGTAGCTAGTAGATAAGTCTGAGCTACCAGGGCCCAGCTCTAACCTTGGTTTTGGTCTCCAAAGACTGACCTGTAAAAACCTATGCACAAGGAGGGCTCTCTTTAGAAATCACCCCAGCTCACCCAGCATAACAGCTCCAGGCCTCCACCTTACCCACCCAGGAGCTAGGATTAAAGCCTGGGAGGAAGCTGTGGGCACCCGGGGGCTATGGGTGTGCGATCACCTGCACGCTGGAGGAGGAAGGGCATGGTCTTGCCCGGATGGATCCATTTCCAGCCGACAGTGGCTGCGGGCAGGATTAAATCCCAGGCGGGGGCAGTGTGCCAGGTCCCGGGGAAAGGGCAGGCAGGACTGGAAGCAGAGGTCGGGGGCAGTGGGGAGGGCAGGGCGCCCCTGGAGGGTGGGCAGGGTGTGTCCGCAGGAGGTGGGATGGCAGGGGGGGGGGGTGGGGGGGGTGGTCCGGACGAGGGCGTGTAGGGGCAGGGTCTGGCTCTGTCCCCTGGCCGATGTCTGTGGGGGTGGGAGGGGGTGCGGGGTGCCGGGGTGCTGGCTGGCAGCGGGTTGCAGGCCCGTGGGGCGCCCCCTCCCCCCACCCCGGCAGCCGTGTCTTGTGATCGAATCATGCCAGGCAGGGGATGGAGGGAGGGAGGACAGACAGACAGGGGTCCTGTGGTCCAGCCAGCCACAGGTGGTCCCCGGCCATTCCCGCCCCCCCCAACCCCCGACTCAGGGGCTCCGAATGCCGGGGGGGGGGAAGGGGGCGGTGTGTGTCGTGCGCAAAAAGCGGGGTGTCCTGGTGTGTGTGTGGGGGGTACCTGTTGGGCGCCACGGTCTGGATCGCCCCCGCCCAGCCTGGCCAGTCCCCGGCGCAACTCGTGCACGTCCACGCGGCCATCCTTGTTGCTGTCTAGCTCCTCGAACAGGCGACCCCAGCGCTGCCGCCGCTCCGCGTCGCCGGGGCCCCCCCGCATGGCGCCGGCCCGGCGGGAGGGGGGGAGGCGAGGGAGGGGAGGCCCGGCGGGGGAGGCCTCAACCGGGGGGGCTGGGCTCCCCCTCCCCCCCGGGCCCCTGCAGGACCAGCGCCCCGGCCCCGGACACCGCAGCCCCCGTGCACAGCCCGCCGGGCTCTGCCACTGGCAGAAGGGGATCGCTGCTAGCCGGCGCCGCCCGCGCCAGAACTTGAGTCTCCCCCCCCCCTCCATCACCAACTCGCTGGCGGGGGTGGGGGGGAAGGGGAGGAGGGCGGAGCTGGGGGGGGCGTGCGCCGGGATGCTTGAGCGTTGCGTGGCTCTGGAGCAGGAGCTGTGTGGGGGAGCCGGTCCTGGGGAGGGTAGGCATCTCTGATCTTCTGGTTGCGATTCTACCTTGGCTAGCCTCAGTTTACCCGATCCCTCTGTCCTGAATGAGGTGAAGGAGGGAGATGTTAAGTACAAGGGTTTCGTAATCGCTTTCCACCTGACCTCCCCCTCCTACTTAATCCTCTTCAACAACCACAGTGGCCGTTTTTACCCACACAAACGCAAGGACTCTGCACCAGCTAAGCTCTTCCGCCCGCCCGCCCAGGTCAGATTCTCCACTTGGTTACAGAAACGGAAGATCGCGAGGCGGCGCTTTGAGTCCTTCTCTATATCCCGCCCGCGCGCCTCCTTTTTTTCGGTCCCACTCAGACTGGGAAACGGAAGATCAACACGCGGCGCCGCTGCAAAGTCTGTTTCTCATTGGCTGGAGGCGCTTGAGCGACGCCCTCCTGCCCCGCCCCACCGCTCCACCTGGGCGGGGCCTCCCAGCTGACCTCGGGCTGTCCCACCACCCTCAGACGGTTTTAAAGTGGCCGCGACCGGATGCCAACGCCAGGCCTGCGGCTTTCTCCACACCTGACAGAGTGGGTGTCGGGGGGGGGGGGGTCCCAGGTGAGGTTAAGGATCTGGAGGCCCGTGCACTACGGGTGTGTGTGGGGGGGACGGGGGTGTCCCCAGCCAATCGCTCCCGCTGCACCTGTGTCATGTCCCGCCCACTCATTTTGGGTGCAGTTTCTTTTCTCACCATTAGGGGGCGAGACGCCCACAGGACTGCGAAGAAGAATAGCGGACATTGATGTCGTGCGTTGCACATGCCAGACCTTTTACTCACCCCCCACGTTCTCGCCTGAGCCCTATATAAGGTACGTGATACTCGCTCCCCCGCTTTCCCGATGAGGAAGCAGGAATTTAAACAGATCTGGGGTCCTTAACCATCACTCTGTGTGTGTGTGTGTGTGTGTGTGTGTGTGTGTGTGTGTGTGTGTGTGTGTGTAACATACCCTAGAAGGAAATTATCAGCTCCTTTCCTCGGGAGGGGGCGTGCCGTTAGGAACATCCTTGAGCCAAAGATACACCTGCAGGGGCTCACTTAGATGCCTGTCTAACAGATGTTTCCATTCACAGGTGCAGGAACCTTACAACAGGAGGGATACTTCTTCCCCACGGAGAGGCCCCCAAACAACGTTTTCTGTTGGGTACTGTCCTGACAGGTGGGCGTCAGTATATCTGACCCCCCTGCCCTGATGATCCTCCCCCCACAGAAATGTGTCAGTGTGGGGAGAAGCCTTGACTTGAATTACTTTAATTGATTAATCAATCGGTTGGTCCTGGGGCTTGAACTCTGGGCCTGGGCTCTTCAGCCCAAGGCGTGCGCTCCACCTCTTTGAGCCACAGCCCACTTCCGGTTTTCTGAGTGGTTCATTGGAGAGAAGAGTCTCAGGGAGTTTCCTGCCCGGGCTGGCTTTGAACCGCGGTCCTCAGATCTCAGCCTCCCGAGTAGTTAGGATGACAGGCGTGAGCCCCCGGCGCCCGGCTCAACCGGGCGTGTTTACACGCCGACGTGTCTCAGTTATTTCCATCTCATTCCCACATAGGAATTCCATGCCCATTTCATAGATGAACACGTACAGGTTCATTGAAAAGAAACCAAAAAACCCCAAAAGCAGATGTAGGTTCAGAACACTGGAGTTTGCTCATTTTCGGTTCCCATGGGGTCCTGGCAAGGGGCGGGGGGGGCTTGCCCTGGGCGCCCCGCGCACGGGTGTCGGTCTCCCGAGGCTCCCGCCGTCGGGGGGGGGGGGAAAACAGCCGCCTGGGCACCTGCGCGCCTGCGCAGAGGCGGGCTCCGTTACAGGTGCGCCGGCGGCGCGGCCCCGCCCCCGGCCCCGCCCCCTCGGAGGCTCAGGTGCACAAGCCGGAAGTGCGCTCCCCTCCCAGGTGAGTGACTAAACTTTCCGGGTCACGTGAGCGGGCGGGGCTGGTGGGGTTCGGGAACCAGCGACGGACCGGACTGACCGGAGCGGGGGTTCGGACGATCGTCCAGGACCGGGGCCGGGACCGGGGCCGGGGTCGGGCCGGGACCCTGCAAGCGATCCGAGGCGC